TTGCCTGTGAATTTCTTGAAATATATATTAGTCAAAGAAAAATACTACACAAAAAAAATTTAAAAAGCTTTAATATCATGGGTTAAGAATACTAATAGGGGTTTCAGAGTTAATTTATTTTGAAAATAAGTGGGAATTTGAAAAGTCCTATTTTTGTTTTGAAATTTCGAAATCAGAAAATGAAAAAAGAGTTGTCTTGAGATAAAATAAACAAAATTTATTAATGATGGTATTATATCTTATTATATAAATAGGCTTACAAATAAAAATAAATAGGATTTATAGATCACTGATTACAAAATTAATACATCACTAATTTAATTTGAAATCAGAAATCTGAACCTTAAGTCTGAAACCCCTAATAGTTTAGTACCAAAAATCTATTCAGATATGGATCTAACGAACACTCGCTTATTTATTTATTGAAAATGATATTAATAATAATGATATTAAGCAAGACTTTCTTTATTGCTTGAATTCAACCAGAATAAGTTCTCTCTAAGACTTTTAAAACATGTATTTTACTTTTTTTTCATATCTCTTATTTATATTCTACATACTACACAACTATGTTATTACTAATTATATACATAGTTTATTTAACTCTATCAGCTACTATAGTTCCTGTTATGTATGGTTACTTTATTTTGATTGTTGCATGTACTAAGAGTTACCGTCACTCACGTGACATTTATTCTAAAGTCAAAAATCAGTAATTTATCTAAAGAAATTAAAGAAATAAGGTAGCTGCACGATGCTGTCATGTGAAACCAGGAACATAAATTATGAATTATCATATAACATGGATATAGTACAAAATAGTGATATATATAGTACCTATATACCCAGGTATAAGTTACAAACTGGCACTTCAAACTGGCAAGGGGTACACTGCATGGGGTATACATGACTGGAGTTTATGATACTTATAGTTATCTCTCAGCACAATATTATCGCAATTTCCAGGAGCATACCTTGTTTTAGTTTTAATAGCACACTAATTACATAAATGAACCTACCATTTTTATAATTATAATTACCAAATATCAATGTCACATCATATGTTCATATTACAGCTGTTCTCATAAATTTTGGAACATCTAGACCGAATGATTGTTTGGCCGATTCGATAAGTTTTTGATTTCAGCTATGAACGATTGTATAATAATGTGCATATCTTGTTAATAACAAAAAATGTATATCAATATCACTATTTTATTTTTGTGCTTGCAATAAGTTGGATATTATATTAGATTTAGTTGCTATTACTTTAGACAAAGTTGGATATATATTCAGGTTCAACAGTAGTTACTTCAGACAAGCTAGACATTTTAAAATGTTTACAAGCTAAAGGCTCCTTAGATTAACCATTTCAATATCTGATTTGTTTTTTAGTTTATATTTAAAAATTAATTTGGATTTTATTATGATTTATTGGTTATAATTTTCAAAGCAATTTCGACAAATATTGAAAACTTAATTGTTTAGAATTATAATTCGAATTATAATTTCTTTAGTACAATCAATAAATATAGTAACGAAACTTTTTTATTAGCATTTCTTTTAGTAATATATTTATTATAAAAGCTTATCTTATATTCAGAACCCTTTTTATGTTTTTTGTCAAGATTTGTTGGTTTGCAAGAACAGACATGTATTCAAGAGAAATCTTAATTTTGGATGTGTTGACATTTCAAAATAATTTGTAAAAAAAATATATCATTATCACAATCACAAATCAATGCTAAATCAAAAACTTATTGAATCAGCTAAATAATCATTCAGTCAATCTTTTACCAGATGTCTCAAAATTTATGAAAACAGCTGTAACAGCTGGTCTGCATTACACAAGCAGGAAAGTGTGAAATAGTGATGGCGCAAAAATTGGCAGTCCCATGACTAATTCAATAACAATAATATCCAAATTTTCAAATATTTGTATCATTACAAAGTAGAAAGAATATTTCTAAATTTTTGTGCTAAAAACTTTTATATAATAACAACACCAATTTCTCTTGCGAATTTATGAGTTTTTTGTGATTTCTATTTTTTTTTTCATCTTACTTCGCATTTGTATGTTACACACTGATCTTACAATAAAAATCACGGGCCACCAAATTTTTGCACCATAACTATTTCACTTGGTGGGAAACTACCGGCCAGTGCTAAGGCACTCAAATTCAATACATCTTTTTTAAATAAACAAACCTGTTCAACAGCAGGGATCATGCATAAGCAGATCTAAATCCTTGAATCGATTACCAAAAGAAGTAAGGTATAACAGGTATACCAGGAATTTAGAATAAGTGTACAGCTACAATTTTATAAAAACGAATTGCTTTCATATAGCATTAAACAAAACCAGTATAAGTGATCATGTACAGAACAATTTGAATACGCCATCCAATAGGATTCAAGAATTTGTATACAGATAGTTGTCTGTAAACTATACACTTCGTACTTTATACTACATTCCTGGTATAATCGATTTTTGATCAATCAAAAAAAGCTTTTTTTAATCAATTATCAATCAACAATTTTTTTTCAAGTCAATTCACTACTCGGTGGGAAACTACTGGCCAGCGCTAAGGCACACAAACTCAACTGCTATTTCTGGGAGCATACCCATTTCAGTTTCAATATTTCAATAACGTACTACATCTTTTTTAAATAAACAAACCTGTTCAACAGCGGTGACCATGCATAAGCAGATCTAAATCTACGTAAAATCCATGAAGTGCAAATCATAATATATCCTTGAATCGATTATCAAAAGTAGTAAGGTATAACAGGTATAGATGCTCGTATCAGAATTTAGAAGAAGTGTACAGCCACAATTTTATCAAAATGAATCGCTTTCATATGGCATTAAACAAACCACTAGTATACATGATTATATACATGATGTCCAATGAACAATTTGAATACGCCATCCAATAGGATTCAAGAATTCGCACACAGTTGCCTGTAAACCATACACTTCGTTACTTTGTACTATGTTCCTGGTATATTATTAGGGTAGCTGCGCGACGTAGTTGCGCTTAAACCAGGAATGTAGCATATAAGTTTTCTAACAGTTTTATTCTTTTTTTTTAAAAAAATAAAATTTATATACAGCAAAAATGTTTGTTTCTATTTATTTATTTATTTATTTTTTCTGATAGAAAAATGGCTATTTCACCCGAAGAGTTGCAAACAGTTGATCACTATATTATACAATATCAAATTGCTTATGCTTATTTTTACGTACATAGCTTAAAAACTTTCTGAAACTATTAATGGAACTTTTTTTTAAAAACTTGTCTAGTGATACAAACTTTATGTTTCGTGAATTCAATTTCTGTGGATTTAACTGTCTTAAACTAATTTTTTTTCAAGTTTTGTAAATTTTTTTAACACATTCAAACACTTATCCTATCGACTTTTATTTATTAATTAATGTTTATTTTTCCTTTGGCTAACGTAGATTTTCAAGGTTCGTTTAAAAGACTCAATACTCAAAAGTTATATCTTTGGGATTATTATTGAAGAAAAAAGTTACAAAAAATTCATTTAATTAATTAAGCTAAAATTTCGATAAGGTAAGATGAAATTATGTTATCATTATCATTACTGATTTAAAATCACCAAGTTTATTTTTCAAGCGGTAGATATTGAAAAATAATACATGTCATTTAAAAATTGACGAATTTTATAACATTAATATATTATATACAGGATCACAAACACATTTGTTCTTTGCATAATTTACACATCCACATATATTCATGTGACATAAATTTTATTATGTATTACATTTTATATATGTCCAACCATCATCCAATCATATTCCAGATTTTGCACACTTGCCATTCTAGTTGTCTGTAAACCATACACTTCGTAATTTGTTCCTGGTATTAGGTATTAAAAAGATACTAATTTTTACGAATGTAATTTATCCAAATTTTTGAATTAATTTAGCCTTTTTTTTTTTCTACTCATGGTAGCCACAGAAGAAACGATTTCGACTTTGGACTCTTTATATCGAAACATAAATTCTCAAGTATATTTAATGGTGTTGCTATATTTGGTTTACTATAATGTACTATATACTTTAAAATGAAGAGTAACCTCAATAGTAGTAAATATTTTTTGAATCAAGCTTATTATAATTCTATAAGTTTTTTTTTTCATTTCAATTGAATCTGAGATTAAGGGCAATAATTATTTCATTTAAAAAAGGTAAACTCCTACATTCGGAGTTTCGAATATAAAATCTACAACTACCTGCCCGGCGGCTATTTATAATAAGAAAGACTATTCTAATGCTTTAAGATGAATGCTTATTAGTAATTCATGCAGTTTAGTTTGTTTTTGAGGCTATGATACAATATACTCTTGAAATATTACATGTAAATTATATTCGGTAGCGCATTAAATTACCTGATTACTCACATTATTTGTTTAACAAACAAATAGCACCAATGAATATTTTAAGATTAACTGTTAATCATCCTTCGTGCCTCGTAAGTCAAGGTCCTGCAGTTTCTCGATGATTTAACATTTCCAAGCGCGCATACATACAGTAAATATTTAGCACCGATACGAATGCTTGGTAACTTAATTAAACATCCGCTACTGTATATAAAGAACTCATAAATGACAGAAATTACGGTGAGTGTGAAGCAAAGTTAGTGTTGTTGTGTAACAGAACTATCCCCGTAATCCATTCTGATATTACAAGACGTAAATAACAATTTAAATGTTTGTAACACGTAACTGTATACTATACAAGAAAAGAAAAAAAAAAAAGAGCAACGCCGATGAAATGTTATTTAATTGATCTTTTTATCGGTCAGACCATTAGTTCTTTCATCAACATTTAACATTTACTGCTATCATAAAAAATATTCATCCAAGATAATAACTGATAATTTTTAAAAATGTTGCGTGTGATTAAAAATATGAAAACTGACACGATGTTTCAAAGAAATAAGCTTATGTACATAGTAATCTTAATAATGACATTTCCAATAACATATTTATCGTATTTTAGAACTAGCGATTATTCTCTATCTAATTCTGCTGAGAATTATAATTTTAATAATAGCTTATTTAGCAATAACGACAATTATGTAGATAGTGAAGATGATATAAATACATCAGGTCATTATAAGCTTCTGATCCTAATTACATCAAAAATAGAAGAATATCATCATCGTAGACTATTGCGAAGGATCTTATTTGGCATCGAAGATAATTTAGTACCTTGTATGAAATATGACACAAGTATTTATTACAGGTTTTTGATTCCTCCGTATAACGTTAATAAAAAAACATACCGAAGTTTTGTGAGTGAAAGCGTGGAGTATAATGATATTGTTGAATTTCAACATTTGTTACATTCGAATTATACTCAAGAAACTATTCTTGATTGGGTAAATAAATTAAAATACGTATACTCTTTATATTTCATTTATTTTAATTCTTTTATTTGTAATTAATTCAATTTCCATTAATTATGTGTAGACTCAATCGTTAAAAAATTCAAACATATCGTTTGATCATGCTGTACTTCTTGATGATTATTCCATAATAAGTCTCGCAAAACTTAAAATGGCCCTTGTTTCTTATAATCACTCTCCAACTAAGCTTCAAAACATCGTATGGAGTAACTTTGATGATTCATCCGTTGATGATATGTTTGTAATTCTTGGTAGTAAAGCTATTTCCACGATCCTAGCCAACAAAGATCTCTTTTATAACACTGATAACCGAAACATAGCGACTCAAGCCTATTTTTATAATAAAAATGAACGTCAATCTCTTTCAAATAACTGGAGTGACTTATTTTTTGTTAATGACAATAAAAGGTTTATTACATTTCCTAGTAGCTTAGATTATATTCCTCGAGATTCTACAATAGCGGTTAGAAAACTATACTCAAAGCATGAGCTCTTATCAGTTTCCAAATATCTATTAATTTCACCGGTATCAGCTTGTCAACAGCATATTCCATCATCAATAGCTATAGTAACAAGCTCTTATTTCCATGACCGTTTAAGTAATTGCACACCACCAATGCTAGATGTAGCCTATATGACGTCAGAAAACAAACGAAACTATGCTCAAAGACATGGATATGCATTTGTTCCAAGATCCTTGGAATTTCAACCTTATCAATCTTATAATCGCAAATTGAAGAGTCGGGGAAGGATTGAAGCTGTGAAAAAAGTTTTACCTCATTATGAATGGGTACTTTGGATTGATAATGATGCAATTATTACAAATCATGAAATTTCTATTCAAAATTTATTTAATCGATTTTATCAACTTGCGATATCTAAAAAAAAGAAAAAGCATAAAGCTAGTAAAACTAGTGCAAAAAACCGTACTAATGAAAATGTGAGCAATACTCTTAATAAGAGGAATGATGAAAAATATTATTATGACGAAGGTGGTCCATTGGATTATGATGATGACCCATTTGATGATACAAATTATGATAAAGAAGCGTATTATGGTGATGATGATGATTTAGGTTATGATGATGATGATACTGAAATTATTTATGAAGAAGATGAAGAATATGAAAGTCCTGATGTAGTCGATGATGATGATGATGATTATGATTATGCTGATGAAGAGGATGATGAAGGTTTTGAGGTGTTAAAAAGATCTGAAATTGGAAAGAAAATATTTGACAAAAAAATACATTTTATAGTGTCCAGACCTAAAAAAGATACTATGCTTAATGCTGGTGTGTTTTTAATTAGAAATTCAAATTGGAGTTTTGAATTTTTAAAAAGAGTACAAACAATAAAAGATATGCACAATGATAAAAAGACTGAACAAGCATCTATGTGGAAACTCTTAAAGAAACATCCTACTTTGAGAGATCATGTATGTTTGATTTATTATTGTTATTTATTAATATAAATTTATTAATCTTGCTAATAATAATAATTTTATTGTTATTTTTTGATCAACAGACATTGTTGCTTCGTGATGATCACATATTTAATACATTTCCTGATGTTTGGCAAAAAGCTGATTTTGTTCTTCATTATGCCTCTGATACATGTCCTGCTAAATTTATGCTGGATTATTTTAAAAAGAATAAGGATTAAATTTATTGATAAAATATAGTAAGTATTAAATTGATTACTTGTATATTTTTACACATATTTTATAATTTATTTTTATTATTATCAATCAGATATATCTATTAAAATATTTTTAGAATGCATGTAAAATAGTTAGCTATACTATAGTAATGATTTTTAATTAAATCAAATCAGAAAATTTGAGTTCCACATTTTAGAAATGTTTAGAAATTATAGACAACTTAAATTTTATAAAATGGTACATTTTATTTAATACATAATATTTCTTTATGCAGAAATTTTATTACTGTAACTTTTATCGAATGGATTATTTTGAGCTTACATCGAAATTTTAATTACCATTCTTATATCAAGAGTCACTTGTACTTTCTTATCTGTAGTAATAAAATACAAGTAATTATTTAGTATGAAATAGTATATAAAAGAAATTTATAAACACACATGCATATCTTTATTTTGTCTTATTATGGTTGCTTAAATATTTTAAACTAGTAATTAATTAACAAAAAAAATTAAAATGCAGTATAATGTTGATGAAATACTATATTTATCATCCAAATGAGTTTTTTTAATATATAAAGCTTTTGAAAATAAAGTTAAAAGTCGAGTCCACCAGGTTATTTTTAAAATTTTATTAAAATCACAAATTTGACTTTGTATGATCTAAATTTCCACATTTATATAATTCGAAGATATAAAAACACATTATACACACATCAACTTAATTTCATAATTTCTAAATTCTATTCCCATTTAAAACATTCATAAAAATGTATACCTTTGAAAATAAGTAGCACTCTAAATTTAAATCTCAAATTAATTAGAAACAACTTGATAAAAATGTTAATACTTTAGTTAATCTAGGGCTTAATGAGTAAATTTAATATATATATATATTTGAATCTAAATACAGTATATATATTTATTCATGAATTAATTAAATATTAAATTAGAATCAAGAATTGCAGATATAGTCTTCATGAAAATTATTACAAGTACTTAATGTGCAGTATAATTAAATTCAAAAATTATAAATTATATAAATTATACCTCTAAACTTGCAGTTGGTTTTGATAACTTCCCAACACTTTTAAGTCTAAACAAAATTCTTTCAACTCTTCTAAAGATTTTTTTACAACATCATCATCTTTATGACCTTGTAGTTCAACAAAAAACACATAATGCCAAGGTCTTTGTAATGAAGGTCTTGAATCAACTTTTGTTAAATTGATATTATTATTCTTAAAGATCTTTAAGCTGTCACATAAAGCACCAGGTTTTCGATGATCCACAGTAAACAAAAGAAAAGTTTTATCATTCTTAGTTGGTTTGCCTGAGCTGGCACTTAGGATAAAGAAACCTGTGGTATTATCTATTTAGATTGTATAAATAAATGAACATACAATATACAAATAACTTATAAGAATATACAATACTAACTATTAAATATAAATTGCTTTTGATAATATTTACCTTTTTTATCCTGAATATCCTTTGCCAATATATTTAACCCATACAAATCAGCACATATCGAATTAGATATGGAAGCTGAAGCAGGTTCTACTATCGCTAATTCTGCCGCTTTACTTGTAGAAAATGTATCAATTCGTTGCACACCTTTAAGATGGGTATCAAGCCATTTTTGGCATTGCCCAAAAGCCTTTAACGGTATTAGATAATGTAAGATTAAATTATAGTGTATAAATATAGCAGGAAGGTTCAAAAATAATGAAAGCACTTGTTTTTTGTTAATCAAGTATTTTGTCAATATATATCTGGATAATAGACTAAATTAAACAATAATTATATTATTTTTGCCTTCCAATATTAAAGTATAATTTAATTATGTTAATACACACCTGAGGATGACTATACACTTTTTTTATCGACTCAAGTTTAAAATTTGAAAGTAAGCAATGATTAACCTTAAATTAAATTATATTTGTTATTGTTTATATTGTTAATAATATTAAATAACAATTCATTATTTAAACTTGATTATAATAACTTACTTTTAGATAGGTTTCTGCAAAAATTTGAACTTTTGATGAAATAAAATTATCCAGTGTGGCAACTACAGACCCATAAGTCGAATTTTCAAAGGGAACAATACCGTAAGTCGTATTGCTTTTTTCCACAGAATCAAAGACATCTTTGTAATTGATATAAAAAATATATATAAGTTTTATTTGAAATTAATTTTTTAACATGATATTGCAAAGATAACTTATAATACCATTTACTGTTGCTTGTGGATAATAAAGTACACTATCGCCAAATTTCTCATGGGCAGCCTCAATAAGCATAAGCAAATATTTATTAGAAAGTCAATCACAATTGCTATTATTATAGAACAGATGAAACCTGAGTTGCGCAAGTAAGCCTGCTAGACAGATCAAGCTAGGATAAAATCCGCGCATAATTATTATTTTATGACAAGGTGAAACCCGCGCTGCCAGTTAGTAAAATCCATGCAGCGTGGATTTCACCCTGTCAAAATAAAGCTGCACCAAAACTTTAAACGAAGATATCTCGATAATCACCTAACTAAATTCGATGAGTTTTTTCTTATTTGAATTCTGTGGATCCATAGAATTCAAATAAAAAAAAATTTTCATCGAATTTGGTCAGGTAATTGTTGAGATATTTTCGCTCAAAGTTTAGAAAAAATCAAAGCACCTATCAAATAGAATGCACAAAATTTTTTAAAAAATTTTGAGTGAAGATATCTCGATAACCACTTGACTAAATTTGATGTATTTTTTTTTATTTGAATTCTACAAATCTATAGAATTAAAATAAAAAAATTTCATTGAATTTGGTCAGGTGGTTGTTGAGGTATCTTAGCTCAAAGTTTTTAAAAAAAATCAGAACGCCTATCTGAATAAAGCTACGCCAAATTTTTTTTTAGACTTTGAGCGAAGATATCTCGACATCCGCCTGATTAAATTTAAATTTTATAGATATATAGAAATCAAATAAAAAAATCATCATTGAATTTGGTCGGGTGGTTGTCGAGATATCTTTGGTCAAAGTTTTAGAAAAAATCAGACCGTTTATCTGAATAGACCTACGACATTTTTTTAAAAAAATTTGAGCGAATATATCTCGACAACCGCCTGACTAAATTCGATGAATTTTTTTTTTTATTATATTCTATAGATCCATAGAATTCGAATAAAAAATTTTTCATTGGATTTGGTCGGGTGGTTGTTGAGATATCTTCGTTCAAATATTTAGAAAAAATCAAAACACCTATCTGAATAAAAGCTGCGCCAAATTTTTTTTAAAAACTTTGAGCGAAGATATCTCGACCAAATTCAATTAATTTATATATATCTATAAATTTAAATTAAAAAAAAATCAGAATTTAGTTTTTCTAAAATTTTGAGCGAAGATATCTCAACAACCACCTGACCAAATTCGATGGATTTTTTTTATTTATTTTAAATCTATAGATTTATAGAATTCAAATAAAAAAAATTCATCGAATTTAGTCAAGTGGTTGTCGAGATATCTTCGCTCAAAGTTAAAAAAAAAAAATTTAACGCAGCTTCTACTAAGATAGGCGTTTAGTTTTTTTTTTTAAAACTTGAGCAAAATATCTCAACAACTACCTGACCAAATTCCCTAGCCGTAGTTATATTATTTGGTTCATTATCTCAGCACTTCTTACTAATATTTGAGGATATTTAACTTTTTCAGGAAACTCGGGCCAAGTTGCTGTAAATCACTTTGGGGAGTATTTTTAGTTATAGTCGTATAATTTAGACAATGAAAATTTTTTTTATTTAATTCTATAGATTTCTAGAATTCAAAATCAAAAAAAAATCCATCGAATTTAGTCATATCAAAATATCTTCGTTCGTGATACTTGTACAAGATTTGTCGTAACGAACCTGATGCACAATTTAAACTAATAATATAATCGCCATAATTATTTCTTGATACTCCAAGAATGTAGAATTCTCATAACCAATTTCACTGTAATTTTTTAATTCCTGAATAAATTCTTGCTCATATTCGTTTGAATTATGGATCGCCTTAAGTGCAACATTTTTCCATTCACCATTAATTCTATTAAAATTTTTAAAAAAAATTTGGCGTAACTTCTATTTAATAGGCGTTTTAATTTTTTCTAAATCTTTGAGCGAAAATATCTCAATAACTACCTGACCAAATTCGATGAAAATTTTTTTATTTGAATCAATGGATCCACAGAATTCAAATAAAATAAAAAAACCATCGAATTTAGTTAGGTGGTTATCGAGATACCTTCGTTCAAAGCTTTGGTGCAGCTTTTATTTTGACAGGGTGAAATCCGCGCTGCGCGGATTTTACTAACTGGCAGCGCGGGGTTCACCCTGTCGTATTATTTTTTTTTTATGTAAAAGCGGATTTTGATGATCGCAATTCAAGTTTTACCTGTTGTATTGCCATCATCATTATTATTTAAATACCTGATGTGTATAAGAACCAGGAGAACCAAAATATGCAATAGATGTTTCTCTTTGCAAAGAAATAGAAGCTGACATATTTCTCTATATTTTGCGTGAAGTGACAGAGTGTACGTAGATCAATATGTATACTTGGTAAATCAAGACCTTATATAGATAATAAAAATTAAATTTGCGGGGTTGTTTCAAATTTACCGGGATTACACAAAAAATTATAGTCACAAAAAATTTGCCACGCATATCATATGATAAATGATTTACGTACAACCTATGTAATTATACCACAAAAAATTTCCCAGTCACATGACTTTATCGTGGCGCAAACCAATTGAATTTCAGGA